ACCCCAATATGTATGTGAGGAACACTGACATTTGGAATACATAATCATCTTGCTAAAGATTACCAGGCTCACACAGCTCTAATTGTTTCAATTTTACTAAAATGTGTAAATGTCATTGCACCAAATGCTATTTGTGTTGCTAGTGAGGAGTTAAGCCTTAAAGTCTACATATAAATCCAAAGTCCTGAAATAATTAATTTTTTAAAATCCCTTACATTTGTAATAAATTCACATTAATATGGACTGAGATAAATATGCATATATACATATAGCTCTATTTTCAAAAGTTTAAATGTACTATGGTAACTTATTTTTAAATTGGCATCTTGTTTTTCATACAAAATGAAATACTTCAGTTTCTTTTTTGTAATTTGCTTTTATGTAAAATAAAAAGTAATTAAAATACAACTATACTCCCCACATGGCACACATACTGGGACTTTCTGAGGCATCAGCGTTTTCACTTCTCCTATCTCTCGCTTACTCCAGAGAAATGGAGGCTGGCATCACCCTCATCATTGGAAGTATTCTGTCTCTCAGCAGGTATGGTTGGATTCCTTGAGTAATATGTATAATTAATTTGCCTCCAGTGTAACACAGTAAATTAAATATGCTTATCCCCTTTGGTATTTATTCATGAATTTTGTTCTTGCTATTGAATCATGTCTTGGTGGGTATATCATTATGAGTATAGATTATTACTATAAGTGTATGTTAGTATTTCTAAACCACATTACTGCTGCGTGCTCTTAAAAAAAAATTATTTAAAAGTCAAGCATCAAGACTACCTGAGTGTGAAACAGAGCTCACAAAGTTTAAATTTACATGTCCCCTCATTTCTCATTCATAGCAGAATATGAATAAATACGTTAATGTTTTTAATTAGTCTTAAATATACTATAAATTACTAGATTCTTAAAGATTTATTTTTCAGTGATGGCAATGAGTTAAATCAGACTCTCCAAAATGCACTGCCAACTTCCATTTATGATTTGATTTTTTTTCTCATGTGATCCAAGTGATTCGTCATTCTTGAATGTTGCTTATATTGGTATAAAAGGCAATTACCTTATACAATACAGTATTCATATACATGTCATTTCTGTGAATATCTTAGTGTCTCATCTTCTTTCCTGGGTCATCTCACTATTATTTTGTAGAACCCTTACAGACTCACGTCTCCAAAGTTCTCAGATGGTTTGGCCTTAGTCCACAAGATTAGGAAGGTCAGCCCAGGTTACCTCTGAGTTCTCTGGTCGACTCTTTGGTACCAAAAAATTTCTTGGAATGCCTTGTATTAGTTTAGCCTCTTTACATATTCCATCTCATTTAATTATATTTTTTACAGAAACAGTATAATATTGACATAGGTAAAGTATACTACAGGTTTTAAGTGACACTCTTGGATTTGAACAGGCATTTCTCTGATTTCAGATGAGTTCTCCACTAGGAACATCAGCTGCTTTCAAAGTCCTCTACAGTTCAAATCAGAATCAAGCTTATTAAGCTTTTCACTGAAGTCCATTTGTGTCTTTCTTCCATCACCTTGCTCTGATTTCCCCACTGGCTATAGTCTAGCCAGGGGTCCACAAACTGCGGCTGGCGAGCCACACGCGGCTCTTTGGGTACATACATGTGGCTCTGAAGTAAAATTGAAAATGAAAATAAA